AGGAACTGGGATCGCTGTCAGAGCTGAGCAGGGAAGAGAGAAGATATCACTCTCTGTCAACTTATCAGGCTGCAGCTTGGGCCCTTGGTGGTGGCACCAAAGGGAAAGAGTTCACTACTTTGCTCAGAGAACAAACTCAGGCCCTCTGGGGCCTTCCAGGCTAACTAATACGCCCCTGGGTTGGTAAACTGAGCCTCCACTGAGTGAAAAGTTTCAGCACTTCCTTGGAATTCTATCTCACCCCCTCTTCTGTTCTTGTGGGTCAAGGCCTTGGCCTGGCACTCTGTGGGTGCTCCTCCATCTGACACCCTCATCAGGCCCTTGAGGTTGCTATTATTCTTCCAACAGTGGGAGAGGAGGTTCTGCTCACCTGGCAGCCCTGTCATGGGAAGCTGTGAGAGAAAAATACATCACTTCTGGTGGGTAATATCCAACTCTGGGACCACTTTGTATGAGGAAAGATGGAAGGAACTAGGTCTCCTTACCTGAAGAGGAAGAGAAATGTGAAAGAGGCCATGAGGGGCTGCCAGGTAGAAGGGAAAGCAAGAGGATGTGGGCTGAATGAGTAGCAAACGTTTTCCCCAAAGCTTTGTTTTGTTGTTATTGTTGTTGTTTATGAGACAGGGTGTCACTCTGTCATCCAGGCTGGAGTGCAGTGGTGCCATTACACCTCATTGCAGCCTGAACCTCCTGGGCTCAATCCTCCCACCCCAGCCTCCTAAGTAGCTGGGACTACAGGTGCGCACCACCATGCCTGGCTAGTTTTTAAATTTTTTGTGGAGATGGAGTCTCACTATGTTGTCCAGAATGGTCTCAAAACTTCTGGGCTCAAGCGATCCTCCCACCTCAGCCTCCCAAAGTGCCGAGGGATTACAGGTGTGAGCCACCTCGCCTGGCCAAGATTGTTATCTCAAAATAAGAAGAGGCTTAAAATGAGAACAGTCCTGGCATGAAGTCATTAGTGAGGGCCCTGCAGCAATAGGCTGTCTGACAAGGAGGTTGCACCCAGTTGAAGGTTGAACTGGATAGCATCTATCCAATCAAAAACCCTGTGATTCTGCTCTTCAGCCCATCAGCAGATGGACATAGATTTTGTTGAAGAAAGTGATAGGATTGCCTTGAGGGCTCTGCCCTCTCCCTCCTCCAGCTCCTTTCTCTTCCCCTGACTAATGCTTCCAGGAGTCGATGCTTCCAACATGGCAGGAAGGTAGAGGGTGTTGTGTTCATTCAGATGGGTCTGTCGTTCCAGAAAATAATTCCTGCCAAGTTAATTTGACCATCCAAGTCACCCCTGGAGGGACTTCCAGTTGCAACAACATGACAGGTGAGATAACCTGAAAACATTCCTGCCACAAATAGAGGTGCTGACTAAAGTATAACATTCTTTTAAATACAATTGACCCTTGAGGCTGTGTGCAGTGGTCCACACCTGTAATCCCAGCACTTTGGAAGGCTGAGGTAGGTGGATCACTTGAGGCCAGGAGTTTGAGACCAGCCTGACAAACATGGCAAAAACATGTCTCTACTAAAAATACAAAAATTAGCCGGGTGTGGTGGTGCATGCCTGTAATCCCAGCTACTTGGGAGGCTGAGACACAAGAATTGCTTGAACCTGGGAGGTGGAGGCTGCAATGAGCTGAGATCATGCCGCTGCACTCCATCCTGGGGAACAGAGTGAGATTTTGTCTCAAAAAAAGAAAAAGAGAAAAGAAATACAGTTGACCCTTGAACACCATGGGTTTGAAATGCACAAGTCCACTTATACATGGGATTTTTTCAACCAAAGGTGGATTGAAAATACAGTATTCAAGGGATGCAAAGTCCACATATGTGGAGAGTCAACTTTGTACGTGCAGGTTCCGCAGGGCTGAGTGCAGGACTTATGTGTGGATTTTGGCATATGCAAGGGGCCCTGGAGCCAATCCCACATGTATACCAAGGGACGACTGTACAAAGTAAAATTTGCAAGAAAGAAAGAGAACTGTCAGGAGCCGGAGATAAAGGAGGAACTGAAAACCTGAGTGGTCAGTATGTGAACTGGCTATGGCTTCTAGGGACCAGGAGAAGGTATGTGAGTGGATTGTTACTTTTGAGAGTTAAATGTCCACATAAGTCTGAGAATTAAGACTTTGGTTCATGCCATATAGGAAGTTGGAAATGGGACTGCCTAAATAAAAATGGCACCCTGAAGGCTTCATCACTGGTGAAGAGGTGAGCTAGAAAGCCGAATGTCTAATTGTCTCCCTAAACATACTTTACCCATAACCTTCCTTAGCCTAATTGCTCAGGCTAAAATCCTTAGTTTTGTACTTCATTCCTCTTTTCTCTCACTCCTCACACTGAATCTGTCCAGAAATTCAGTAGGCTTTACCTTCCTACTATACTCAAAATCTAACCACTTCTTACCACTTCTTGCCTGGAAGAAGACAGGAAGACAACAGCTTCCTGTCTCCTGACTTCCCCTTTTGCTATTTCCAGAACAGCAGCCTGGCTGAACCTTTTTTTTTTTTTTTTCCAGAGGCAAAGTGTTACTCTTTGCTCAGGCTGGAGATCAGTGGCATGATCCTAGCTCACTGCATCCTCAAACTCCTGGGTTCAAGCAATCCTCCCATGTCAGCCTCTAGAGTAGGTAGGTTTACAAGTGTGAGCCACCATGTCTGGCTCTGGTTGACCTTCTGAAATATGTTAGATCACATTACACTTCTTTTCAAGTTTTTAATGGTTTCCTATTTTGCTCAGAGTGAAACCCAATTCCTTAAAACATCCCACAAGATCCTATATAATTGTGACTTCTATGATTTCTCTACTCTTGTCTCATCTACTCTCCCCTTGCTCACTCTACTCCAGCCACATGGGCTTCCTTGCTTTTCCTCCCAACATGCTAGACAGACAGCTCCTGCTTCGGGGCCTTTGCAATGGCTGTTTCCTCTGCCTAAAACATTCTTTCCCTACATGTCCACATGATTCACTTTCCTAAGTCCTTGCTTAAATGTCACATTCTTTTTTTTTTTGAGTCTGAATCTTGCTCTGTCTCCCAGGCTGCAGTGCAATGGCGCAATCTTGGCTCATTGCAACCTCTGTCTCCCCAGTTCAAGCAATTCTCCTGCCTTCTGAGTAACTGGAATTACAGGCACATTGCCACCACACCCAGCAAATTTTTTTATTTTTAGTAGAGATGAGGTTTCACCATATTGGCCAGGCTGGTCTCTTGGCCAGGCTGGTCTCAAACGCCTGACCTGGTGATCCGCGTGCCTCAGCCTCCCAAAGTGCTGGGATTACAGGCGTGAGTCACCGCGCCCAGCCCTGTTTTGAGACAGAGTTTCACTCTCTTGCCAGGCTGGAGTGCAGTGGTGCAATATCGGTTCACTGCAACCTCTGCCTCCCGGGTTCAAGCGATTCTCACACGTCAGCCTCCGAGTAGCTGGGATTACAGGTGCGCACCACCACACCCAGCTAATTTTTTTTTTTTTTAGTAGAGGCTGGGTTTTTCACCATGTTGGCCAGGCTGGTCTCAAACTCCTGATCTCAAGTGGTCTGCCCGCCTCAGCCTCCCAAAGTGCTGGGATTATAGGCATGAGCCACCACGCCTGGCTTTAAATGTCACATTCTGTAGCAGATGCTGTCATGCCTTGACACAGTCCCTTGCACTTGCCATTCCCGCTAATGGTTTCCTAGTGAAAGCATCTGCAACTTTCCATATAAAGGCTTTGTCTACATAGGTGTTCATCTGCTTCAGGGTAGTTCCAAATGCCAGGGAGTTAAGGACACCTTTAGGAGCAACCCTCAACCAATAAATCAGTGGATTAGTATCTCAACTTTCTCCCCTTTGGGTAGAACAACTCCTCTGGGGCATGTTTTCCACTAAATGGAACTTTCCCAGGACTTCCCGGCATCAACACCCAAATCCACACATACACGAATGGAGCCAAAGAAAAAAATGTTGATATATTGTTTGTGGGCTTGTCAATGAAGTGATAACATCTTAAAATATTTAGGCTGGGCGCAGTGACTCATGACTGTAATCCTGGCACTTTGAGTGGCTGAGGTAGGAGGATTGCTTGAGCTCAGAAGTTCGAGACCAGCCTGGGCAACATGGCAAAATCCCATGTCTATAAAAATAAAATAAAAAATTAGCTGGGCATAGTTGCACTCCAACCTGACAACAGAGTGAGACCCTGTGTGTGTGTGTGTGTGTGTGTGTGTGTGTGTGTATATATATATGTAAGAGGAATTTGAGGAGAAAAGTAAGAAAACAAAAAAGCATAAAAAAGAATATATATGATATATATAACATTACTTTAACAACTTTAATTTTTATTTATTTATTTATTTTTTGAGACAGGCTCTCACGCTCACCCAGGCTGGAGTGCAGTGGCATGATCCCAGCTCACTGCAGCCTTGACCTCCCTGGGCTCAAGTGATCATCCCACTAAAAATCCTGGCTAATTTTTTTTTTTTTTAACTTTCTATAGAAACAGGTTCTCACTATATTGCCCAGGCTGGTCTTGAACTCCTAGGCTCAAGTGATACTCCCACCTTGGCCTCCCAAAGTGCTGGGATTATAGGCATGAGCTACTGCACCTGGCCTATATTTTTAATAATATATATTACAAAAGTATAATGAAAAGGATACGGTTGAATCAGGATAGCACCCAAAGTTTCTTTCTAAAGGTCTGAGATTCAAGGTAGGACAAAAAGCTCTGGAGAGTCCCCCCTATGTTCCATTATCTTTAATCCAAAGGGCTCAGATACCTCTACTGCTATTTCCTCTGGCACTGTGAGGAAGTTCCAATCCACCTGGTCCACACTAGCTGGGCCCAGGGAGTCTGGGCTTGATTGTTGGTCAGTGGATTGCACTTTTATGACGCAATACAAAATAGGGACAGATCACAGGCGTTGGGCCCAGAGACACCTGAGTTTAGATTGGGATTCTGTATCTTACTGACATTTGACGTTGAGTAAGTTGTCTAATTTCTCTGCCTTTCTTTCCTTGTGTATAGAACCATGATCACCATAGGGCTTTGTGGAATGAAGGAATTAATGTATGTGAAGTGCACAGCAGGTCCTCAACCAATTGAAACAGCCATGACAGTAACAATAACTGTAATAATAAAGATGCAAATGTACCCAGCATTATGTTTGATAGGTGATTAGCTTGTACACACACATACACACATACATATACATGCATGCACACATACAACCAATGTTAGGCTCCCTCTCCACTCCCTAAAATGGATTTTGGATTTGAAGAGGCAGCATTTGGGCCAATATTATCTCTCTCCAATTAATGCTGTCTGTCATGGCATTTTAAGACCAATCTCTGGCCGGGCGCAGTGGCTTACACCTGTAATCCCAGCACTTTGGGAGGCCGAGGCAGGCGGATCACTTGACGCCAGGAGTTCGAGACCAGCCTGGCCAACATGGTAAAACCCCATCTCTACTAAAAATTAAAAAAAAAAAAAAATTAGCTGGGTGTTATAGGCGCATGCCACCCTGCCTGGCTAATCAAAACTACAAAAAATTAGCCAGGCCTGGTGGCACACGCCTATAGTCCCAGCTACTCGGGAGGCTGAGGCAGGAGAACTGCTTGAACCTGGGAAGTGGAGGTTGCAATAAGCCGAAATTGTGCCACTGCACTCCAGCCTGGGTGACAGAGTGAGACTCCATCTCAAAAAAAAAAAAAAGGAAAGTTGACTTAACAGAGGAGAGGTAGCCACTAAAAATATACCCAGTGCCATCATGGGCAGTGTTAATGGAAGGCAGGGGTCCTAGTAAGGGAAGTAATATTCCCACATCTGCCTGCCCACACTTATAACTTCATATCAGGGTCTGAAGGTAGTGTTTAAGTTAACAAACTCCCCAGAGGAAGGTGACAAGCATCATGAGAGGCTCTGAAAACTCTGTCAAGCAAGGAATAATCACAGCAACTATGGACATTCAATCTGAGAAGTCCAAACAGGGCAGATTGTTCTGTAATTTCAGGAGGAAAAACAGGATGAGAGCTTGGTGCCAACTGGGCTCCCAGTCCCTGGAAGATGCAAGCAGTGTCTGGGCAGCCCCCATCAAGATACGTGTGAGAGAAATCCTCAAACCAGAAAGAAAGGATTTGGATGCCTCTGGGTTCCTTCTGAATCCAAATTCTGTGATTCTATTGAAGCAGTTGTGCGGCTGGGCACAGTGGCTCATGCCTGTAATCCCAGCACTTTGGGAGGCCGAGGCAGGTAGATCACCTGAGGTCAGGAGTTCGAGATCAGCCCGACCAACATGGAGAAAGCCTGTCTCTACTAAAAATACAAAAAATTAGCCTGTAATCCCTGCTACTCAGGAGGCTGAGGCAGGAGAATCGCTTGAACCTGGGAGGCAGAGGTTGCAGTGAGCCGAGATCGTGCCTTTGCACTTCAGCCTGGGCAACATGAGTGAAAGTCCATCTCAAAAAAAAGCAGTTGTGGAAATGTTATTTAACATAGTTGAAAGTTATATTCTATACATATGTATTTACACACATATGTATGAATTAAACAGACCAAAATGTCAAAAGCGGTTGCTTCTGGGTAAAACCGGAGGTGTTTTTTTTCCTTCTTTTAAGTGTTTTTCTTTTTTCTCTATTAAATATAAATTACTTTTATTAACAAAAAAATTTGGGAAGACCTTTTTTGTTAAGAAAACCAATCTATGAGCAGATGAAAGACATTTTTATCAGTTCGATTTTCCAACAATAAAGGGAAAGGCATCCAATTTGTGGAAATGTATTAGCAAAGACCGGAAGGAAAAAGGAGGAATCCTGCATGTGGGGAAGAGGCACACCACAAGGACCAGCCGTGATTGCATGATTCAATGACTAAATGGCTTGTAAGAAACTGGTTTCTGAACCCAGGTGGGAATTTCCTGTTATAAGTCTCTTGAAGGAAATCTGTTCTTTCCAGAAAAGCTGTAAAAAGCATTAGGAGGGTGGAATTGAGTGTATGTGGAGTAGACAAACATCTTTTTTTTTTTTTAACAACTATCATCCACATGGAAAAACATCACTCTTAGATTTAGAAATTGCATCAAGGGCAGAGATTGTTAGAGGTGAAAGGAAACTTCTTTGCCACAGGACCATTCTCTCGCCTTCTCCTGCAGAAGGAGGGTCGCAAAGGCTCCCAGAGATGCTGAGAGCATGGAGAAAGAGGCCACAAATGAACCTAAAGTACATAAAGAAGGAACATAGGATCTGGGAACACCATGCAAATCCAGATACCATCCCTCAGAGTCCATGACCTTGGGTGGCCTTACTTCTCCGAGTCCCAGTCTCTACATATGTAAAACAGAGGCAGCAGCTGTTCTTGCCCTTCCCACTACAGGGGTGTTAAATATATGGTCTATGAGACCTTGCAATGTCTGAAGCTGCCGATAAATATCTATATCTATATCTATATTTTTTAAGAGCAACAGAAAAGGCAGGCTGGGCACAGTGGCTCATACCTGTAATCTCAGCACTTTGGGAGACTGAGATGGGAGGATTGCTTGAGTCCAGGAGTTCAAGACCAGTCTGGGCAACATAGCAAAACCCCGTCTTTACAAAAAATTAGCTGGGTGTGATGGTACTCACCTGTGGTCCCAGCTACTCTGGAGGCAGAGGTAGGAGGATCACCTGAACCCGGGAGCTCCAGGCAGTAGTGAGCTGTGATTGCACCATTGCATTCCAGCCTGGGTGAAACAGTGAGACCCTGTCTCAAAAAATTAAAAAAAAAAAAAAAAAAAAAAAAAAAAAAAAAAAAAAAAAAAAAAAAAAGAAAAAAAAAAAAGGCAAACCAATAATCCTAGGGGGCAAATCTTATGCAAACGTTAATTTAAGAATTGAGTCGGATCGGGCACGGTGGCCCCTCATGCCCTGTAACCCAGGAACTTTGTGAGGTCAAAGTGGCTAGATCACTTGAGGTAAGAGTTAAGTTCGAACCAGCCGCCAAGGGCCATGTGGGTTTCATGCCTGTAGTCCCAGCTACTCCAGAGGCTGAGGCAGAAAGAATTGCTTGAAAACCTGGGAGTGGAAGGTTGCAAAACGAGCCAAGATGCCC